ACTGGGAATCTCGTTGGGTGCAGTCTGAGCACAAAGGAAAAGAATTCGGCTCTTTTAAGTTAACTCCTGGTAAATTTTATGGTGATGCAGAGAAGGATAAAGGCCTTCAAACTAGTCAGGTAAAGATTAAAATATATTGGCAGTTGAACTATAGGTTACTTTAGCCATTTAATTGGATAAAATGTGTTTTTGAATACTAAAAATCTTTACAGGATGCAAGATTCTATGGCCTCTCAACCAAGTTTAAGCCATTCAGCAACAAAGACACTCCTCTAGTTATCCAGTTTTCTGTTAAACATGAACAGAATATAGACTGTGGTGGTGGATACTTGAAAGTCTTTGACTGCTCACTTGACCAAAAGGACATGCATGGAGAGTCTCCATACCTAATAATGTTTGGTAAGTACATTATATTTTCCTGTTAATCCTTTGTTTCAGTTGTATATGTACATCTGTTTGATGTATATATACTCAAAAATTCTAGTGGCTTCAAATCAAGCAGGGGGGGAAAAAAGCTGGTAGGCCCACATGTGCAAATGGGTCTGTGGGGTCAGTGTGTGCAGTATAAAAAAAAAATCCTGCTGCAAAAACCTCAGACCGTGGTTTTTAGATTAACCCTTTCAGGGTCCGTCCCATAGATCTACGGCTTTACGTTCAGGGTCCAAACCGTAGATCTAAGTCATGAGCTCAGCTCACTCTGATACTGTGAGTGGTACATTTGGGCCTAGATATGAGAGAATACATCTGTGGTATGTGTGCACCACATAAAACAAATCCTGCAGCACGGTGTATAATGAGAGAAAAAAACTGAAATCATGATTTTTCGATTAAAACAGCGATTTGCAGTGTTTTTTCGTATGTTTATAGTTGCATTTGAGATTTCTTGGTCTCATTTGATAGAATGGAAGACATATTACAGAAATAGAGATGATTTTGATTGGTTTTAGCACTGGAAATGGCTTGAAACCGAGCTCAAAGTAGCAGAAATGTTAAATTTTTGCCGATATTCAAGAGTAAACAAACTACCTCACACGTCTAATACACGTCTAATTCACAAATATGGTGATATTTATACAATTATTACAGTATTGTGTAACAGTAAATCTTCTATGTTTTGGTGTGAATAAAAAATCAAAATGGAATTTATTTGTAAAGCCTCAAAACGTAACTAATGAACAGAGGAAATGTTAGTTTAGTTCCAGGAATACCTACATTGTTTATTCTGGACCCTATTTTGAAATTGGAATATTTTGAACTTTGTGTTAAATTGGCGAAATTAACCCTTTCCGATCACTAGGGTCAACTGCAGGAGTTTACATTACAGAGCACTGACCATAGGTCACAGCACTAGCAGCTATAAATACACAATCATAATTAAATTAACCTACTTAACCCTTTGTTTCGATCATATATACATACAAGTCTTATGAGCCAGTGTTTGACGTACACTCATTCTAGCGGCTTCAAATCAAGCAGGAGAAAGCTGGTAGGCCCACACGTGAGAATGGGGTCTGGTGTCAGTGTGCACCATAAAAATATCCTGTAGCATGCAGTGCATAACTATAATATTTTTTTTTTTAATACGCCGACTTTGTGGTCTATTTTCGTATAGTATTTATGGTTGTATTCTCGTTTTCTTGGTCTCATTTGATAGAATGGAAAACATTATAGAAAGAGGTGATTTTGATTGGTTTTACTATGAAAACCTTGAAATGGAGCTTAAAGTAGGGAAAATGTTCGATTTTTGCCGATATTCAAAAGTAAACAAATTATAGGTCTCCCTCAACATTCGCAAGGGTTAGGGGATCAAGAGCCTTGTAAATGTTGAAAAATCATCAATGTTCGGTGTCCCAATACATTATAGGGAATAATACAATACAGTGGACCCCTGGTATTCGATAAATCCGGTATTCGATACATATTGCAAAAAAATTTCCTCGGTATTCGATTGAAAACCCGGTATTCGATACGATTCGTACGAGACATGTCCACGTGTGGCCTGAACTGCCCCATGTGTGCCAGTGTTTACAAGCCAGCCAGTGTGCGCGCATCTAAGGATACATTCGGTACATTCCATATCACCGTTTGGTGCTTGTTTCTGCAAAATAAGTCACCATGGGCCCCAAGAAAGCTTCTAGTGCCAACCCTTCAAGAAAAAAAGTCGCTAATGACTTATGAAATGAAGAAAGATAATTGCAAAGTACGAAAGTGGAGTGCGTGTGTCGGAGCTGGTTAGGTTGTATAATAAACCCCAATCAACCATCTCTACTATAGTGACCAGGAAAACGGCAATCAAGGAAGCTGTTCTTGCAAAAGGTGCAACTGTGATTACGAAACAGCGACCGCAAGTGTTAGAAAATGCCGAGAGATTGTTATGGGTGTGGATAAATGAAAAACAGATAGCAGGAGATAGCATCTCTCAAGCCATCATTTGTGAAAAGGCTAGGCAGTTGCGTGACGATTTGGTAAAGAAATTGCCTGCAAATAGTGATGAGAGTGAATTTAAGGCCAGCAAAGGTTGGTTTGAAAGATTTAAGAATTGTAGTGGCATACATAGTGTGATTAGGCATGGCGAGGCTGCCTGTTTGGACCAAAAAGCAGCTGAAAAATGTGAAGGAATTCAAGGATTACATACAGTGAAGGACAAACCTGAACACGTGTTTAATTGCGACGAAACAGGCCTGTTTTGGAAGAAAATGCCAAGCAGGACCTAGAGGATGAGCAGGAGCATTGTCCATTGCCAGGAGGCATTTGTGGCAGTTTATTTTCCAGAAGGTATTTTTTTCATTTGGGCCTGGGTATCTTGTGGAGAGGCACCCTGTTCCTCTGAAGTCTGGTTCCAGTATCGGTTAGCCACGTTCTTAGACTGCCCTCTATCAACGAGCACACAGAATTTACCTCTGTCGTCTCCACTCTACTATTTACCTTCCCTTCTTGCTGATGGACCCTCCTTTAATCCTGACTCTCTCATTTTCTTGACAACTGACTGACTTCACAAACTGATACCTTTTGCATCCCCCTCAGCCCTTTCTACCTCAATCTCTTGCTACCCTCTACTCCTACACTATCCACTGCCCTGCTGTTTTCCGTAACCTACTAATCGTCCCTCTCCCTTTTGCCACCTGATACCTTCACTTCCTTCCTGCCCTGCAGCGCTGTAGCCCTTGTGGTTTAGCGCTTTTTGATTATAATAATTCACTCAGGCGAAACCCATCATGGCCCCACTCTCTTGTTGATCTACAACTACTCCATATCTTCCATTGTTTGTGATCTGTTTTGTTAGCACATTCACCCCCTTTTGCAACTTTAGCTTCCTTGATTTCTACTTTATTTGCCAGGATGGAGAAGATTGTTGATTTAGACTTCCCATACATCCTGGCAAGTTCTCTCTGCCTTTATCAAAGGGCTGGCATGAAACTTTCTTTGGGCCCATGGTAGCTTATTTTGCAGTCACAAATAATAAACAAGCACCAAAAATAAGGGATTATTACGAAATGTTTTGATGCGCGACATAATGCTCACTCGACCAGTGAGAGGCACTGAGGTGTAGTGGCTGCGTCCCTAGGTGGGCAGACATACGATACGTCCGATTACCGGATCAAGGTCCAATATCCGGAACAAAACTTTGCACAAACTGTCCTAAAACCCAAACGTCTGATAATTGGAGTGCGAAAACCAGTTCCACTGTACTCTTGCCTAGTTCACTGGCATGTGGATAACTAATTTTAGTCTTGTTAGCTTAACTTTTATTAAACATGGCTGGTTTTAACTTTTTTTTTTTTCTCTTGTATTGTTTAAATCTTTTATTGTGGATGTAAATTCTAAATCCCTGCCAGTTTGTTTGCACCCTTGCAGTGTTAGTCACTTAAAAAAAAAAAAAAATTTTCTATAATTTCTAACTTGAATGGGTTAGATAGGATACTCCTTATTGCTCCCCTAAAGGAAGGTTCCTTGATGTTGAAGGGCTCATGGTCTAGGGAACTTGATCTATGCTCCAGTTCCCTGAATCAAGCCTGAATACCTTCCATGTCCCCCCCCCCCCTTCCTCAGGCATTGCATAATCCTTTGGGTTTAGTGCTCCCCCTTGATTATAATAAAATAAGGGTTAAGAATTTGTCTTAATGCTAATTTAAATTCTTGAAGCAAGTTTTTGGTGTATTATGTTGATAAATGTTAATCATTAAAAACTTAACTAGTGTACCTTCTTGCAGGCCCTGACATCTGTGGTCCTGGAACTAAAAAAGTTCATGTCATCTTTAACTACAAAGGCAAGAACCACTTGATTAAGAAAGAAATTAGGTGTAAAGACGATGTATTCTCTCACCTCTACACTCTTATTGTTAATCCCGATAATACCTACGAGGTCCTAATTGATAATGAAAAAGCCCAGTCTGGTGAACTGGAAGAAGACTGGGATATGCTTCCACCCAAAAAGATTAAGGATCCTGAAGCAAAGAAGCCTGATGATTGGGATGACCGTCCTACTATTCCTGATCCTGAGGACACAAAACCTGAGGATTGGGATCAACCTGAGCATATACCAGATCCTGATGCCACAAAGCCTGAAGACTGGGATGATGAAATGGATGGAGAATGGGAACCTCCCATGATTGATAATCCTGACTACAAGGGTGAATGGAAGCCCAAACAGATTGACAACCCAGACTACAAGGGACCATGGGTTCATCCAGAAATTGATAACCCTGAATACACCCCAGACCCAGAAATTTATAAATATGATGAAATTTGTTCTGTTGGCTTGGACCTCTGGCAAGTAAAATCTGGTACTATTTTTGACAATTTCCTCATCACTAATGACATTGAAGAGGCAAAGAAAATTGGTGAAGAAACTTGGGGAGCCACTAAAGATGCTGCCAAAAAGATGAAGGATGAACAGGATGAAGAAGAGCGCAAGAAAGCAGAGGAAGAGGCAAAGGCAGCTGAAGCAGATAAGGAGGATGATGAAGATGATGATGATCTTGACGAAGATGAAGATATAGAAAATGAAATAGATCATGATGAACTTTAAAATAAAAAAAAAAGGTTCAACTGCCTTGTGTACTAGAAACATCCAAGTACAGATTGAAACCTGTGATTTTTCTCAGTTTTGAGTCTGGTTTCAGTCTATTCTAGTCGAGGGACATTCACATATGCTGTAGTACATAGTGCGTTTAACTACTGCTTATTGAAGGTTCCCTGACCAGTAATGTTGCCCTTAATGGGGTAGGTTTGCATGCTTCATGATCATTTGTAATCATCCCCATCATTGCCATAGTGTATGCAGCACAACCCAGTATGTTTGTTAAAGCCAGAGGTGTCAGTGCTGTTACCTAATGAAGTCTTGATTTTGTTCTGGCAGCACAATGTTTGAATGAGCGATTTCCAATAAACTTATCAGAAACTTTGTAATTTTATTTACTCTTGTTCCAAGTGTGGGGAAGGTGTAAGGCACTTGCATGTTGAAAGTTCCCTTTGATGGTGGTAGTGTAGTTAGTGCCTGGGGGTAGTGGTATCTTTTGGGGGATACCACTATGCCTGCAAGGGATTTTGATAGTCCCAAATTTGTTTACCGAGTTATGTAAACGGGGAAAAAGCAGGGTGAAATGTCAAATGAATATTACATGGGTGTCTGGAGGAGGTAGTTCAGACATTTGGGAGTGGACTTTACAACGGATAGCTCTTGAAAAAAATTTTGGCATTGACACGATGGCATCTATGGAATCTTGCCTTTTTCAAGGGGGGGGGGGGGGGGAGCTCCTTGGTACAGTGAAGAGGCTCTTGGTCTGAGGAATTAGACCTTTTGGTCTCCTTCCTCAGACCAAACCTAATTACCCCCTTCCCTATCCCATCCTCCCTTTTCCTTTTCCTCCCCATCCCTCCCTTATTCCCTTCCTATTTTCAGCCTTTGGGATTCTTCCCAGAGGCATTCTAGTTCCTAGGTAGGGGATAGGGCGTAGATGAATGGTTCACAGAACTGACAACTTGATAAATTAGACACACGTGCAACACTTGGTTATCTTTATTGAGGAAACGTTTTGCCACAGTGGCTTCATCAGTCCATACAAAGGAGAACGGTGGTAGTTTGAGGTAATCAGTCCCTCGGCCTCAAGTCTGTGATCATTCCATCAATCTTGAAAAGAATACAGTGTATCTGCGAAGCAACAGCTTGTATACCATAGGCAGGAGAGGTGCAGTAGTCGTAGGTATCGCATTTGTCCAATGTGGAAGGTCATGCCCATGGGTTAGGCAAATGAATAATTCCCTGTATTAGGATCCCTGTCTGACCCAGCAACATCTTTATTTTAATACAGGGAATTCTACTTGCCTAACCCTTGGACATGACCTACTTCCACATTAGACAAATGTGGTGACAAAAGCGTCACTAGCAGAAGGTACAGGGTAAGAGAAGTCGAGAGTGGTCCGATAATGAAGCCGGGTCACAACGGTGTGGTATCAGAATGGGGGGCCCGGGAGGAGGGTTTTTACGGGCAAATGCTCCATAATAGGTGCACTTCTGTAATATCTGTTACTTTAAGAAAAAAAAGACAGCTTCTGGAGATACACCCACCATCCAAAGGGCACCCCACCCACGACCCAAAAAACCGGGAAGGGAGCAGGGCATCCTCAGACAATTCAGATTCCACGGCAAACCACACCACCCCCGAGGGACCTTACGTAAGGGGATGAACCCCAACATGCCACCCCACCTAGAAACTGTAATGCCAGAGGAGAGGACCCCAGAGGCTACAAATGGGATGGGAGGGAAGGGGAAAAAGGGGGTATGGGGAGGAAGATAGGGAAGGGAAGATTGGGGGGGGGGGGGTATTTAGACTCGGTCTAAGGAAGGAGACCAAAGGATTAGATTCCAGAGACCAAGAGCCTCTTTGACACATCAAGGAGCCCCCTGTGAAGAGGTATTCATTCTAGAGTATGTTATATTGAAGTATTTTGTCCTGCCTCCCCAGAGCAGGAATTCTTCTGGAGTGGATTAATGGGATTTCAGTTTAAAAGAGGAAAATTGATTTGATACACGAGCAAACCAAGTTACGAGCTAGGTCACGGAATGGATTAAACTCAAGTCGAGGTTCCAGTGTACGGGGAAATCTCCCCTGGAGGCATAGATGAAAGACTGCCGTGGCATAAGAAAAGCCTCATCTCAGACAATGGATTTCTTGTTCAAGTAAACTTCGCAACGAGAATAAGATGGGAGAACTTCATTAACAAGGAAGATAAGAGGGAGGTAGGCTACAAGATGTATTAGTATGGTTGTTGGCCACACAGACTGGGCATTGTGCCATGGGCCTACAGTACACCTACCATCCGACTTGCGACCGTGTTTTTTTATGCCAAATTTCTGAGAAATAAACAACTATTTGTGTTGTACAGTGTTTATCCTAAACCTTACAGTATAAAATACAGTACTAACAACATAAAAAGTAAAGTAAAACATGAAATACCAAAATAAAACAACAAAATAGTCATTACAAAAATGTTTCGTTGATATTCAGTAGTAAAGTTCGACTTTCGACCATTTCGACTTACGACCGGTTTCTCGGAACTGAACTCGGTCGTAAGTCGGATGGTAGGTGTATTTTGCTGGATGGCCAAATGTTAGCAAATTTAACGCTCGCCATCTGTGGAGAGGGTCCCACTGTGACTCGGGGTGATCAGTTGGAGACTTCTCACTCCTCATTCTTTGTTTTAAATAGTGGTACCTCGAAAATCGTAGTTCTCAAGAGTCGTAGATTTCGGAAATAATAGCGATATTTTTGTATAAACATGGGCTTGCTACCTCTTCAAGGGGGGCTCCTTGGCGTGGTGAAGAGGCTCTTGGTCTGAGGAATTAGCCCTGTCGGTCTTCTTCCTCAGACCGAACCTAATTACCCCCCATTCTCCCCTCCCCTATCCCATCCTCCCCATCCTCCCCTTTTTCCATTCCTCCTCCTCCTCACCCCTCCCTTTTGCCCTTCCTCTTTTTAGCCTTCGTGATTTCTCCCACAGGCGCGCTAGTTCCTAGGTAGGGGAAAGGACACCGGGGTCGATCCCATTCCGTTGAGGTTTCTTGGCGGTGGCGTAGTTTGCCGTGGAATCTGGATTGCCTAGGGATGTCCCGATCCCCTCCCCGGTTATCCCGGAGTAAGCTTGGGTGCTTTTGGGCGACGGTGTATCTCTGGAAGCCACCTTTCGGATTCCGGGGGTGGTGGCTGAAGGAGGTATGCTTTGTGGCGGTTCCCGGGCCCCCCTCTCTTTTTTTTCCACCCCAGGTATCCGTTAAATTTT